CATGGTAGGAACTTAATAAATGTTTATTTGTTCACCCTCCCTTCCCTGGTGAAATATTAATGAGATTTTATCATAGACTAAAGTCATACAGATTCTAGATTTAGAGCTAGAAGGCACCTGAAAAGCCATGTAGTTCAATTTTCTCTCATTTTACAGGTTAGAAAACTCAGATCTACATGCAGGCAAACTTTCCTATTTCTTCAAGTTGCCCACTGCTTTTTAGGAGAGAGAGAAGTAGAATTCTTCTTACTCTTTTATTTTTCCCTTGCAGCTATTAAGTGGAATTTCCATTTTTTTATATCTTTCTTGAGATAGATGCCTCCTTCTTTTTATGCTAAATATAAGCCAGAAATGAAAGCATGGATATTTATGTAATAAATGGATATTTATACAATATAGTGTTATATATCTTAGTAATTTTCATATTATACAGTAATAGAATCTTTGCTTAGTAAAGACTGGAAAAATGATATTCTAAATGGACAAGATGAGCAAATACAAATTCTTACTCTTATTCTATCTAGGAAGATTTCTGGAAAAAGTGATTTTAAGACATTGGTATTTTTTGACATTAATATTTAATATCAGCACATCTGGGTTCACCAAAATATAAAAATGAATAATTTCAATAATGGGTAGATAAAATTATTTATAAACATTATCTAGTACACACATTGTACACATATAAACTCTGAGGCATAAACCTTAGATAAGTGCCTACCAATGTATTAAGGCAGTAATTGCATATTGACTTGCATTTTCTCATTGATTTTCACTACAGTCAATCAAATAAACAAGCATATGTTGAGTGCCTACTATGTGACTGGCATTGGAAATTTAAAAAGAAATAGCCCCTGCTATTCAAGAGCCTACATTCTAATGGAAAAGATAAGATGAACATAAGTAGGTATATTCACATTTATAGGCATATACAACAAAAAGAAATATAAAGAAGGTAGGTATAAGATATCTTGGAGGGGAAGGCATTAGCAGTAGGAGGACTAGGGAAGGCCCCATGCAGAAGGTGGCACATCGACTGAGTCTAAAAGAAAGCTAGGGATTCCAAAAGGCAGAGGTGAGGAAGTAGAACATTCTAGTCATGGAGACAGCTAATGGACGGAATGGAAATGCAAAGTGGAGCGTCATACGTGAGGAAAAACAAGTAAGATAATATGCCTGAACTGCTAAACCCATGTAGGGAAGTAACATATAAGAAAATTGTGGAAAGACAGGATGGGGCCAAGTTGTGAAGAACTCTAAATGCCAAACAAAGCAATTTCTATTTGATTGTAGAGTTAATAGGGAGCATTTAAAGTTTATTGAATGTTGTTGTGATATAGTCAGATCTGTGTTTTAGGAAAAATCTCTTTAGTATCTATGTGGAGGATGGGTAATCCCAATTCTCAAATTTGTTCAATATATTTTCCAGGTCACTTGTTTTCTGATGAGATATTTCACATTTTATTCTATTTTTTTCATCCTTTTGGCTTGATCTTATTGTTTCTTAGTACCTCATTAGCTTCCACTTGCCTAATCCTAATTTTTAGAGAATTATTTTCTTCAGTGATATTTTGTACCTTTTTTTTTTTTACCATTTGGTCAACTCAGCTTTTTAGGGCATTTTTTTCAGTGAGTTTTTGTGCCTGTTTTAACACTAGGCCAATTCTATTTTTCTTTTCTTTTTTTAATTTTTTTTTTAATTTGTATATTTTTTTCTTTTTTTTAATGGTAATTTTTATTTATTTTTTTGTTTCCAACATTTACTTCCACAAGATTTTGAGTTCCAAATTTTCACCCCATCTTGCCCCTCCCCCCACCCCAAGATGGTATACATTCTAAATACCCTTCCCCTAGTCTGCCTTCCCTTCTATCTCTCCTCCCCTTCTTTTATCCCCTTCCCCTTCAATTTTCCTGTAGGGCATGATGGATTTCTGTACCCCATTTCCTATATTTCTCATTTCCCAGTTGCATGTGAAAACATTTTTTTAAACATGTCTTTTTAAAACTTTGGGTTCCAAATTTTCTCCCTTCCTCCCTCCCCACCCACCCTCATTGAAAAGGCAAGCAACTCAATATAGGTTATATATGTGCAGTTATGCAAAACACTTCCATAGTAGACATGCTGTGAAAAACTAACTCTATTTCCCTTAATCCTATCCCGCCCACCCATTTATTCTATTTTCTTTTGACCATGTCCCTCCTCAGAAGTATTTGCTTCTGATTATCCCCTTTCCCAATCTGCCCTCCTCTCTATCATCCCCCTACTCTCTTGTCCCCTTCCCCCCTATTTTCCTGTAGGGTAAGATAGATTTCCACACCCAATTGAGTGTGTATGTTATTCCCTCCTTAAGTCAAATCCTATGAGAATAAGATTCACTCATTCCCTCTCACCTCCCCCCATTTCCCCTCCATTGTAAGAGCCTTTTCTTTTCTTTTTTTTTTGTAGGATAATTTACCCCATTCTACCTCTCCCTTTCTCCTTCTCCTAGTATATTCCTCTCTCACCCCTTAATTTTATTCTCCAGATATGACCCTTTCATTTTCAACTCACCCTGTGCCCTCTATCTATCTATCTATCTAACTATCTATCTATATCTATATATACATACATATAATTTTTTCCCCTCCAACTACCCTAATACTGACAAAGGTCTCATGAGTTACAAATATCATCTTTCCATGCAGGAATGTAAACAGTTCAACCTTAATAAGTCTCTTATGATTTCTCTTTCCTGTTTACCTCTTCATGTTCCACTCAAGTCTTGTATTTGAAAATCAAATTTTCTATTCAACTCTGGTCTTTTCATCAAGAATGCTTGAAAGTCCTCTATTTCACTGAAAGACCATTTTTTCCCCTGAAGGATTATATTCAGTTTTGCTGGGTAGGTGATTCTTGGTTGTAATCCTATCTCCTATGCTTTCTGGAATATTATATTCAATGCCCTGTGGTCCCTTAATGTAGAAGCAGCTAAATCTTGTGTTATCCTGATTGTGTTTCCACAATACTTGAATTGTTTCTTTCTGGCTGCTTGTAATATTTTCTCCTTGACCTGGAGAAGCAAGTAAAAGAAGTAGAGGAAAAACTGAGAGTGATGCAAGAAAATCATGAAAAACAAGTCAACAGCTTGCTAAAGGAGACCCAAAAAAACACTGAAGAAAATAACACCTTAAAAAATAGCCTAACCCAAACGGCAAAACAGGTCCAAAAAGCCAATGAGGAGAAGAATGTGCTAAAAAGCAAAACTGGACAAATGGAAAAGGAAGTCCAAAAGATTACTGAAGAAAATACTTCCTTTAAAATTAGAATAGAGCAATTGGAAGCTAGTGACTTCATGAGAAATCAAGACACTGTAAAACAAATCCAAAAGAATGAAAACTTAGAAAACAATGTGAAATATCTCATTGGAAAAACAACTGACCTGCAGAATAGATCCAGGAGAGAGAATTTTAAAATTATTGGACTGTCTGAAAGCCATGATCAAAAGAAGAGCCTAAACATCATCTTTCAAGAAATTATCAAGGAAAACTGTCCTGATATTTTAAAACCAGAGGGCAAAATAGGAATTGAAAGAATCCACCGATCTCCTCCTGAAAGAGATCCCCAAAGGAAAACTCCTAAGAATATTGTAGCCAAATTCCAGTTCTGTTTTTCAAAGGTTTTTTTGTGCTTCTTTTCAGAAAGCTGGTAATTCTCTTTTCATAATTTTCTTTCATCACTCTCATCTCTTTCCCTAATTTTTCCTCTACCACTCTTGTCTCTTTCTTCAACTTTTCTAGGAATTCTTTTTGTCCTTGGGTTCTAATGAGCATTTTTCTTCGAGCTTTTACCTGTAGCTGTTTTCAAATTGTTATCTTCTTCTGAGTTTATGTCTTGGTCTTTTCTGCCACCATAGTAATTTTATATGGTCAAGTTCTTGTTGTTGTTTGCTCATTTTTCCAATTTATTTCTTGACTTTGAACATTATGCTAAAGTTGGGATCCACTCACTTAGGGATGGGAAGGCAATATCCCAAGCTTCTGGCTTTTTTGTGCTGTTCTTTTCAAAGTTAGTTTTGGGGGGTCTGCAAGTTTTTGGTGCTTCTAAGGTGATGTTATCTTGGGAGAGATGTGGTCACTGCTCTTCTGTTTCTGTGTTCTGTTCTTTAACCAGCAAGGGCCCCTATCCCCCAGTAGACACAGACACTAGTGCTCCTCTTGGCCCTGCAATTGTGACCCAGTCCCCTGCTCTCCTGCATCCAGGTGCCCAGGGCTAACAAAGGATTCCCTGTAATCTCTTTATGGCAAGTTGTCCAATTCCCTTGTGATTTCTTTCCTGAGAGCTCCTGCTGCCACTGCTCCTGCTGCTGCCAGTTGCATATTGCCTCTGAGGCCTACCACTGCTGCTTCTACTGCACCATCCAGATGACACAGTTTTCTCCTGCTGACCTCCTAAAATGTCTCACTCTGAAATTTTGTCGGTTTTGTCACTCCAAAATTTAATTTGAGGAGTTATTTTAAAGTTGTTTTGATTGGAATGTTGGGAGAATTCAACTGTATTCCAGTCTGTGGATTTGCCCTAAAATTTGTCTTCAAAAGATATTCTGGATAAAGGTTGTGGTGATTTCAGTGATATATTTAATTATTATTTTGATATAATCAAGTTATTGTAAATTAAATGATATATAATTATTATATAGTTAATACATGTCTAATTATAAATATACATATAATTAAAATATAATTATATATAAAATAATTAAAATTGCCACTCTCTTCATTCAGAATGCCCTATAAAGCAAATGAAATTTCAATTTCTGATGGGAAGAAGATGAGAGGCTTGCTAGCTGTCATGGCATTAGAAGTTGTAGCTTAGATGGATAGCATTGAAGAAGTTTTGGAGCTAAAAGAAGTGTCCAAAATGGCATGAAATAATTTAATAAAATAAAATGCCAAGAGAGGTGACATATAACAGGTTATCTGCCTTTCTTTTTCATTCAAACTTTTTTTCTTCATGATTTTTGTTACTTATGACAACAGATTATCTTATTTCTTTTTGCAGCAAACATAGTCTTTTGGATCATGTCTTTGAAAGCTTTTTTCACTTGCTGGTTCCTTAGGGTATAAATGAAAGGATTCAGCAAAGGGGCAACTGAGGTATTGAGCACAGCTATTCCATTGCTTAAAGCCACCCTTTCATTTGCTGAGGGTTTGATGTACATGAAGATGCAACTGCCATAAGAAATGGAGACAACAATCATGTGGGAAGAACAAGTGGAAAAGGCCTTTGTCCTCTGTTGGGCAGAGGGGAATTTCAGAATTGTCCTAATGATGTATGTGTAGGAGAGAATCACTAACACCAATGTGACCATTAGTGTCACCACAGCTAAGATAAAAGACATCAGCTCCAGAAAATGTGTGTCTGAGCAAGAAATCTGCAGGAAGGGAGAGGAGTCACAGATGAAATGATCGATGACATTGGAAGCACAGAATTCTAGTTTAAGTCCCATGATCACTGGTGGAAAGATAATTAGGAAGCTGGTTATCCAAGAACTGAGTAGCAGCTGATAACAAACTCGGTTGCTCATGATAATTGTGTAATGTAGGGGCTTGCAGATGGCAACATAGCGATCATAGGACATGGCAGCCAGAAGATAAAATTCAGTTACCCCCAAGAAGATGAAAAAAAATAAGTGGGTCAAGCAGCCCATGTAAAAAATGGTTTTATCCTTGGTTATGATGCTGACCAGGAATCTTGGAATACATACAGTTGTGAATAAGATTTCTAAGAATGAGAAATTGCGCAGGAAGAAATACATTGGAGTCTTAAGGCGAGAATCCAACAAGGTGAGGGTGATGATAGTTATGTTACCAGTCACGCTCAACACGTAGGTGAGAAACAGAAAAATTAAAATGACAACCAGGGATAGTGGGTCATCTGTCAGCCCCAGGAGGATGAACTCAGTGAGTGATGTATAGTTATTCATTGATGTATTGAGTTCTGCCAATGTTTCATAAGAAAAGAGAACAAAAATCAGAATGAACAATTAATAACTGCTATTTCCACAGACTTTCACATTAAGATGCTCTCTGAGGACAAGCATGTGCTAGTCCTAAGTATGAGTTCAGAATCTAAAGAGATTTATCTCCACCGTCCCTCTCTTCCACTGCTACCCAACGTGTCATTGAATAAAACTAAAGTAAGTCTCTCAACTATGATGACCAGGTCATGACACATTTGTTATCTAATCTCAACTGGACCCTCATTATATAAAGGCAATTGTTTTCCTTTTCCCTAGTTAAATCTCTACCCTGCTTTCCAAAATGGATGTTTCAAATTGTCTCTTTTTCTCATCAAGCCTCCAACAACTCCCCTCCTCTCTTAACTGAGGCCTTACTACATATTTTGTTGACAACAGTAAAAAAAATCAACACATTCAATGAAAATTTCTTCTACTCCCCATGGGATGGGCAGATGTATCAATTGGTCAACATATTCCCCCATCTCTTACTTAGCTTCCTTCTTCAGGTTGTGCAGGGTCACTGTACTATCCTTGTACTTAACATGGTCCGCTACCCTCAATTACCAAGCCCTCCTTCATTTTCAGGATGACAATTTACCCAAATCATTTTGAAGGGAGGGGATAAAAGCAAACATAGGGTTGAGAAGAACATCCTGCATTGGTCCCAGGAGTAAGGGAACTTCAAGAATTGTTTGCAATATCAGGCCTGAAGCTCCCAATGAAACCAGACTAGGGATGAAAAAAAAACTTTTCCTAAAATTGTGTGGGGTTTTGGTAAATAATAAGTTACCTTCATTATTATCATCCATCTCATTGTCCCTAAAATTGACAATAAGAAAAAATTAAGAATGAGACAACCATCACTTTTAGTAAGCTGGTGTTGACTGAAGATAAACAGTGAATCATTAAAGAAATCAGACCATTTAACAGAGGCAATAGTCAATAGTCCAAAGCTGGGCTTTGGGAGAAAACAAAACAAAACAACATCCCAAAACTCAATTTGATCTCTTGTCTGAGGGTAATGAATAAAATGAAAACACCAGATATTGAAGGATTTTACCCAGTCCTTCATGGTATTGAAGTTTGAAAAGTGGGTCCCTTAATCAGATGAAATGAAGGTAGAATAGTCATAAAGAAGAAGTCTATCCAGAGAATCATTCCATTCAGTGGCAAAAGTATCTGGGTGCTGATGAGCTCTGAATATGTAAGCAATTGGTTGTGTTGACAAAGTCCTTCACTGATCCTGCTCCTCAAAGTGGTCTCCCTTAATAGCCCAACCATTAAATTCCAGTGTCCCAAAGACTCAGTAAGGTCTCTAAAAACAGAAATAAAATGATTACCATTATCCCTTCCACATCAAGACTTTCCCCCTCATGGTTTTGATATAGCATGGGTCAGCATGAGAAATTAAATGGGAATTTTGGGGGAGTTTTGCAAAGTCACAGATGACATACAAAGGCCATCAGATGACACAGAGCTTATGACCAAATACTTGACAAAAATTTTACAATATTGTAATGTAAACACTCCATAAAAGAAAAAGAAAAAGAAAAATCCAGACCTCTTCTGTGGTATGAAGACAGGGCCAAAAAATTTTATGCAGATTTTCTAGATCACACGGGCACTGTACCCCTAACCCTCACAATGTGAAAGAGATAACTGTACTAGTTCCCTCCCCTCTGCATAGGGCAACCTGACAGACCATACAAGTAGCCCAAAGTTCAGGTTACCAAGAATTCTGCCCTACTCCTCTATCTTCCAATGACTGATTGAAAACTAGACTGAGGAAAGTGGAAAACCAATGGTGGATGTCACAGCTGATGGAGCTATTATTAAATCTGATACCAGGGCAGCTTAAAGTAATTAAATCCTCATAAAGAAGTGCACAGGTGGCTAGAACTGGAAGTGGGTGAAGGAAAGGAATGTACTCAATGGTGATATCACGCACAGGGAGATCAATCTTTTTATGGAGAATGCTGGCATTGGTTGAAGCCACTAGATGGCTCAGTGGATAGAGAGCTGGTCCTAGAGTCAGGAAGACCCAAGTTCAAATGAAGCTTTAGAAACTTACTATCTATATGACCGTGGGCAAGTCACTTAACCTCTGTTTGCTTTAATCCACTGGAGAAGGAAATAACAAACCACACCAGGATCTTTGCCAAGAAAACCCCATGGACAGTATGATCCATGGGGAAACAAAGAGTCAAACATGACTGAACAAGAACAACTCACATTGGTTGCCCCTGGCTTGAGACATTCCTGAACCCTGCCCACCTTATTAAAGTTCATGACCTCTCTAAGGGTAGAAATCTCAGCAATGTCATAAAGAATACTGTGGTGCTTCATGTTAACACTACAGGAGGGTTTGGGCAAATTGAGATTCTTGCAACAAATCTCCACTGAAATGTAATCAGATCTCCTTTTGATCTGATGTTAATAACTAAACAGGTTTGGGGAACTTGACCCCGATAGTTACTAAATTCAATAAAACTAAGATACAATGAATATAGGATAGTTGCCAAATGCCTTATAGAATATTATTTCCTCTCTTCCCAGTGTTTTCTGACCAGATTACTAAAGAGCTGGCCATCAGTATCCATCTCACTAATCTTATATTTTAATAACTAGAATCCAAAAATCCTATCTAGAAAAACCCTTCTATTTCCTCATTCATTTAGAGTAGGCCACCTGGGAGGCCGGGGCAGCGCTGTTGGTGTCTGCTTAATATCAAAGAAGTTCACCCTACCAAGATATAGCCTTAAGGTCCTAGTTCTCAGGGAAGACAGGCTGAAATTAAGATGCAGACAAGGAATCAGCCTTTGTCCTAGTCCCCATCCTTCTCCCAAACCCATATGCAACAGTTCATATTCCAAGGCTAATGAACCAAATTGTGATTGAGACTGCCCCCATTCTTCCTATGCACACATGACCCCTCCCACTTTCAACTGGGCCATTGGAAAATTACTCAATCTGTCCTCTGATTCAGTTAGTTCTGATTTATTGAGTCTGCCTCTAACCAATTCAGTAGCTAATTTCTCAATAGATATAGCAAAATGAGCAGTGTTTTATCCTCTTGCTCAATATCCTAGAGAATCTAGTTGGCCAGTCTTAGTCTTTGTGGTTATCCAAACTTATCCCACTGCTGGACCTCATACCACACAGCCCACCATTCCTGCAATATCAAATAATAGGAACTTTTATGAGGCCACCCTAATAACTGACTGGAATGCCCTTCCATCCTCACTACCATTCCCATTAAACCATGGCCCCATAATCAATCTCATTAGAATTTGTTGACTGTAACAAATGTTTTAGACCAAATACATGATGGTTCTAAGAACAAGTTCAGGATTTGAAGAGACTGATACAGTGAAGGAAATAATTAAAACAAAATAAAGTAAACATACTAAATGCATTCAATAATGATATGTATTTATATATACATATATACATACACAATAATGATATGCATTTATATATACATTTAAATTTATATGTATATATAAAACATAAATACATATATATATTTGTGTATATGTATTGCATACATATATACAACACATATACATGTGTGTACATATGTATATTTCTAAATTGACAGATGTAACTCCCCAGGTCCCTGCCATTTGGGGTTTTCTTGGAAAAGGTGCTGGAGTGGATTGCCATTTTCTTTTGCAGCTCATTTTACGGATGAGGAAACTAAGGTAAACAGAGTTAAGTCACCTGCCCAGGATCACAAAGCTTGTAAGTGTCTGAGACCACATTTGAACTAAAGAAGATGAGTCTTCCTGACTTCAGGACTTGTACTCTATCCATTGTGCCACCTAGCTGCCCCAGGAAGATTGGACTAAAAAATCTTTAAATTTCCTTCCATCTCTAAGATTCTATGATTTTATTTTATGACCCTTTGCAAATTTCTACCTGTGTATCTGGCTTAGTTATTATCTGTACTGTCCAGACTTTGGGTCCTAAGAGACTGGCCTGGACTTTTTGCATAGCATTAGTAATTTAAAGGGCCAAGAAAAACACAAATGCAGTTCAGTCATGAGACATGACTGAAATGACTGAACAATAAAAAGTCCATCCTTCCAGGGCCTTGGTTTTTTCACATGGACTAACTAGATGACTTTTTTAGGTTCTTTGAAAGCTCTAAATCTATGATCTTATCATTTGCCTCTCTTGCACCCTGAATAGAAAGAAATGTTAAAGGGCAGTATCACATCAATCAACACAAGCTATGTTACTTCATTTCTATCAAAATCCTCTAAATGCTGATCTAGTGTGAATTTAAAGTTAAAAGAATGAAGAACTTTTTCAGCAAAAACAGTCATACCTGCTTCTTTCCTGTTTGCATGATTCCCATTGCAATACCTTCTCTGCTGTACTAAAAGTTGTCCCTAAGAGAGAGAACAATCATATATGTATAGCTAAAAATTTATTTCTTCTGTGTTCCTGAATTCAAATGGTTGGAATACATTCCTGTCTTTTTCAAGGCATTGTTATCACTGCTGGCCAAGTACCTTGATATAGTCACTAATCACTTCAACCTTATTGTATATGAATAGGATTTTTGCTTTCTATATGTTCTATTGCTTTCTACCAGCTCTGAATTTGGGTATCTCATTTGAATCCTTTAATTTCCTTTATTCTCAGATGGAACCATTTAATTTTTCTACTTGTTTCATTTTCTCATATTACTCTCCTATTGCTATATAATGCATATCAGGCTAATTTTTTTTCAAAATGAAGTTCATTTGTAGCCTTTAGGTTTTTCTACATAGTATATCAACCAACAAGAAAGATAAGAAACCCCACAAATCTGACCTGCTTTGAAGGCTTTCATCTACTATTTTTATACTGAAAATCCCAGCACTAGAATAGATCGTAGAGGATAAATCTGAACAACATTGCTGACAGGTCCTCATCTAATATCTATTTCAATTGCTACAGTGATGGGAAATTCA